TACTTGATTGATTTCAGCCCTCAATTTGATTATTTCCTGGTGTCTGCTCCTCCTGGGTGAGTTTGCTTCTTTTTGTTCTAGAACGTTCAGCTGTGCTATTAATTCTCTAGTATGATACTGTTCTCCAGTTTCTTCATGTGGGCACTTAGTGCTATGAACTTTCCTCTTTTCACTGCTTTCAAAGTGTCCCATAGGTTTATGTATGTTGTGTCTTCATTCTCATTGAATTCCAGGAAGTCTTTAATTTCTTTTTTCATTTCTTCCGTTACCCAGGGATGGTGCAATTAAGCATTGTCCAATTTTCATGAGTTTGTGGGGTTTCTGCGAATTGTGTTATTGTTGAATTCTAATTTTAATGCATGGTGGTCTGAGAGGATACAGGGGGTTATTCCATTTTTTTTGTATCTGTGGAGATTTGCTATGTTTCCTATTATGTGGTCAATTTTAGAAAAGGTTCCATGTGGCGCCGAGAAGAAGGTATATCCCTTTGTGTTTGGGTGGAATGTTCTATAGATGTCTGTTAAACCCAGTTGGGTCATACCTTCTATTAGTTCTTTTGTTTCTTTGTTAAGTTTCTGTCTGGAGGTCCTGTCTAGCGGTGAGAGCGGAGTGTTGAAGTCTCCTACTATTAGTTTGTGAGATTTTATGTGCAATTTGAGCTTTAGTAATGTTTCTTTCACAAATGTAGGTGCCTTTGTATTTGGGGCGTAGATGTTTAAAATTGAGACTTCATCTTGATGGGCTTTTCCTTTGATGAATATGAAATGTCCTTCTTCATCTCTTTTGATTGATTTTAATTTGAAGTCTAGTTTGTTAGATATTAGGATTGCTACACCTGCTTGTTTCCTGGGTCCGTTTGATTGGAAAATCTTTTCCCAACCCTTTACTTTGAGATACCGTCTGTCTTTGATGTTGAGACTTGGGTGGGTACGGAAGTGGGGAAGATCTAGGAAGAGTTGGGAGAGGGGAAAGCATGTGATCAAAATATATTTTATGAAGAAAATTTAAAAAGCTAATACATATCAAAAATCATATCAACAGATAATTTGTCATGCTGCATGGCTTTGATAGCTGGCTTTGTAGTAAGTTTTGAAGTCAGAAGTGTAAGGTCTATATTAGTACCTTTGTACATTGTTTGGCTCTTAGGTGTTCATTTGGAGTTCAGATGAAATTTGGAATGTCTTTTTCTATTTCAGCAAATACTCTGGGGTTGTGATAGAGAGGGATTGCATTTGCCCCTGTAAATCTCTGGACAGCACTGACTTAACAGCAGTGGTTCTTTCAACCCATGGACCAAGAATGTATTTCTACTTTTAGCATCAACTTGTAGTATTTTACTGCCTTAGTTGATTTTATACTTGTTTTATTCTTTTTGATACTGTCTGGAATTGTTCATTGGTTGTGTATGGGAATATCACTGATTTTATTTTTGTTATTTTTGTGTTGTATAAGCTCTGTGATTTGGTTCATAAACTGTAGGGGACTGTTCTGTGCCTGTTGTTGGTGCTTTTCTGCATTTAAGGTCATGCGTATGTAATAGCCATGATTTAGTGGTTACCATCTGTGCACGTTTCCTCTTGTCTAATTGCTTTAGCTGGATTGGAACTGTGCTGAGCAGAGTCAGTGAAGAACTGTCTTGGTCTGCACCTAGAGGAAAAGGTTCCCGTCTTTACCCCTGAGTATGTGCTGGCCATGTGCTTCTCATGTGCGGCCTTATTATATTGAGGTGGTTTTCCTATGTGCCTTGTGTGCTGAAAGTTTTTATTCTTCAGGTCAATTGAATTCTGTCAAGTGCTTTTTCTGTATAAAATGGAAATTGTATGAATGTTTCCTTAATTTTAGAAATATACTTTACATTGGTTTTGTATATAGACTCATCGTTACATCCCAGAATTTGATCCCATTTGTTCTTGATGCGTAACCCTTTAGAATCAAGGATTAGTTTGTAGTATGTTTTGTTTGTTTTTAGACAGTGTTTCTCACTTTGTAGACTTGGCTCACCAGGAATTCACTATGCAGACCAGGCTGGCCTTAAACTCACAGAGATCTGCCTGCCTCTACCTCTTGGGTGCTGGTGGCTAGGTCTTGTGTTCATCTGTTTATAGGTTTCTCTGACTTGGTAGTGATGACCTCATGGAATAATGTAGGAAATATTTCTGAACTTCAATTGATGTTAATTCTTCTTACAATATTAATAGACACCAAGTATAATTTTTACTGATTAGGGAGACAGAAACAGGGAGATTGAGAGTTCAAGGACAGCCTGGGCTGCATAAGTTGAAGATCAATTTGTGCTATAGCTGGGTTCAGGGAAGCCTGGGCTACATAGTCAGAACCCATTTAAAAAAAGAGCTAAAAGAAAATAAAAATAAAACTCATCAGTGACTCCTGTGGCCCTGGTCTTTTCTTGATTGAGAGGTAGGTTCTTGATAACTGATCAGACTCCTTACCGGTGTACAGGTGTGTTTGCATTTTCTTTTTTCTATGATTTGGTAATTTCTAGGAATTATTTATTTCTAGGAAGTATATATTATCAATTCAGGTATTTCATCTAGGTTATTTAATTTGTATATAGTTGTTTAAACTTCTCTTTAACAGTATATTTTATTTATCCTTTGATTATTTCCTACATATATGCTATTTAATTTTTTAGCATATACACTTGCATTCCCAACCTCCCTCACAACCTACACCATTTCCCTTTTCCAATCTTGTCACCCCCCTCTCTGTCTCCTTTTTTTTAAATTTTAAAATAACACAGTGAGTTCAATTAGTACTGCCCATATATGGGTTTCAGGCCATCCATTAGTGCATGGACAACCAACTAGGGTGGGGGTCACTGTCCACCTGAAGAGAACTGGCTCTCCTCCAGCAGATAGCAACTGCCTCTGGCTCTAATTGCCTTCCTGCCTTCTGTTTGGGGATTTTTCTGAGCCATGGGAGAAAGGGATGTGATGAAGACGAAGGAAAGTGGAAGCAGTTGATTACATCACACTTAATGTGCAATTAATTCTTCCAGTTGAATGAAAGATGTTAGACCGTAACCTAAAGCTATATAAAACACAATGTTCTCCAGAAAAGGCAAACATGTGATACAAACAAACAATGCTGTTCCCTGAAATAGCTAGTCACATATTGCTTTTCTTTCAGTGAGTTGAACATGCTGTAACACTCTCTCTCTCTCTCTCTCTCTCTCTCTCTCTCTCTCTCTCTCTCTCTCTCTCTCTCTCTCTCTCTCTCTCTCTCTCTCTCTGTGTGTGTGTATATCTCCATGTCTTTCTCCAAATTTGAGGGATTTTTCAACTATTTTTTCTTTCTCTGCTGTCCCTCCCTCCCTCCTCTTCTTCCTCCTCCTCCTTCTTCTTTCTTCTTGTTAGTTTTGACAAGGTCTTGATGTATATATAGCCCAGATTATCCTCAAAATCACTATATACAGAGGCTGGTCTTGAACTCACAATCCTCCTCCTCAGCCATCCAAGTGCTGGGTTGACAGATGCATGCCATTTAGTGCCTGTGTTTCTATGCATTTAGTGCTGACCACTTGGGATTGGATAGATAACCCAGTGGGTAGGAGGGGTCTTATCTCTAGAGAAGACTGACTCTCCCTCTCTCAATTGGCATTAATTGCCTGTAGCTCTTCATCTAGGGTAGGACATCTTCTCCTTTTCCTCCTCCCCTTCCTCTGCCTCCTCCACTTCAAAGAATAAGTATATTGGTCTGATTAATGGTGTTCCCTGAGTTTATTAGGGCCTGTTCACATTTTTCATTCATTTTTCTTTTCTTTCTCTTAAGGTAGATAACTTTAAATAATCATTTTTAAGTTCATCTATTGTCTATTTTGTCTAGTAAACCTGTTGTGTGTGTGTGCGCACACACTTTTTAGATTTTTCTGAAGATTTTCCTACTTATTCTTTTACAGTTTCATATATGAAATATATAGCACACATATGTACATGTTCTTTGATCAAAGCCCTCCTATTATCCTCTCTTATCCCTTTTTCTTCTCCATCAAATCAAGCCCCACTGGTTCCCCTCTTTTTTGCTTTGTGGTTGTGAGGATCCAACCCAGGGGCTAGCCCATGCTAGCAGTGTTCTTCTACTGGATTATGTTCCTTACACCCATGTTTCCTTGTGTGTGTGTGTGTGTGTGCCTCAAGGCTTTTGGTTCAACATTAAGCATTAAAAAAAACAATTATCTTTCCTTGTCTCTGCAGATGGTCAGGGAAGACCTTTACTCATTGATGGTGGTTTGAACTTAGAAAATCATTCCTGGATGACATATATCTATGCCTTCCTTCTTCTACCCAAACCCTGACTTCCTTTACAAGCCACCATGCCACAAAAAGTTTTACTCCAGTTTCTTCTTAGGTGCTTGCCATGTTCTTTGGCCCGCAATTCCATTGCTCTGTCAGTCACATGTCTTCTTCAGTGTCGACATGCTGCAGTGTCTGCCACTGCCTTCTTCAGCTTCCAGCCTGGGTCCGAACTCGGCTGATACTTCCTGTCTGAAAACCAAGTCATCTGAGATAGAAGCCATTCTACTAGACAATCCACAGACAGAGCAGAATACTGCAAATAAGTTTCATTTTGTACTTCCATCCTGGGAGAGGGAAGAGGGAGTTTGAGATATTTTCTCTTAACCATGGCATGCTACACATAAGAGGCTTGGGGCCAAGGGGAGCACAAACGTGACAGATTTTCCCACGAGTTCATGCAGTGACTTCTTGATTGGTGATCAGGACACTTGTTTGCTTAGGTCTTTGACTGGTTTCCTGAACTGCTCTGGTTAGTCTGTGGTTGAATGATGTTTTCATAGGAAGACATGGGTCTGATGCTCCTTGCTTTGATGTCTGATGATGTCATTCTCAACTGCACACAAAGCCTACTGAGATTCTTGTTCTCTGTATAATGTGCTACTGGTAATTTGTGATGGATTTAAGTTCAGATATTATGGTTCCCATGACCCATTTAGCTTCTAATTGTTTATCTCTTTCCCCTAGTATAAGCATGGGGGACCCATTATTGCTGTGCAAGTGGAGAATGAATACGGTTCCTATGGCAAAGACCATGCATACATGCCTTACATCAAGAAGGTAAGAGTCATTTAATTCATTTCTTTACATTTCTTCCCCTGAAATATATCACAGACTGTGACATGTTACCCTAATACTTTTCTGAAACTAATATACCCTGTTTCCCAATACCACCTTAATCATTAGCGAAATTTTCTCCAGGGTTCATCTCTACAGAGTTATCTCTTACTTATCCTTTATTATTTGAGTTTGGGGTGATATGTTTAGTGTTCATATAGTGTCACAGGGGCTAAGAATGAGGGAATTACCTTAATTAAGTGGAGGTGATACAAGCTTTGTGGAATGTCTCCTTGATCCTGGCATGAAGCCAGATAGGTGGATGTACATAAATTTTATTGAGGAAATGTAAACAAAGTCCCCAATCAGCTAATACCATGCTCGTCAGAAGGATTTCTGGGACGGTGCTCAGTGAGGGGGCAGCTGAGAACTGCCGATTCCCATGGCATGACAGAGAAGGTGGTGGGGGTGACAGCGAAGAGAGGCCTGGCAGTCTGCTGTGGTTTCTTTCTTGGTAGCTGAGGCTTTGAACAGATGCCTTGGATTTTCTGAGTTTCCGCCTATCTTCTACAAAGTGGGGCTAAAAAGAATGCCTGCCTCTTCTGTCTTATGTGAAATCAGGTGGCTGGGGACCATTCTAGGTCTACAGTAAGTTGTCAATAAGTGGCTTTGGTAGAGTCATTGGCAGCATTTCTTTCAGCACACTCTGGAGGCTGGCATGATATGAGCTAAGGAAATCAGAAACGGGCTCTCTGTACCTGACTGACTAAGGTTGATGGCTTTGGCTCACATGGTTTGGGCAGTGGCTCTACTACTCACTCCTAGCTTAATTCTCCATCTAGAAATTCCTTCTGTTCCTACAGCTTGGAGGCTGAAGCTCAAGGGCTCCAATTTCTAGTCCCTGACTTTGTGCCCCTTGCTTCTTACTTGAAGAGAACTCTTAGGAGAGTTCCCGGAAGGAGCAAGGTACATGCTTGTCCACACCCTGGAGAGAGCACACATCTAACTTCCTTGTCTTGGGCTACCTAGGAAAAAGCCTGTCCTGGGCATAGACTCCAGAGTTTCTCTTGCTGCAGTCCTCCGTCACACTCCCTGGAGCACTGGGACATCTCCAGCAGTTGTTTACCAGTGATGCAGCTGAAGAGGAGCGCTCTGAGGAGCATCAGGAGTAGACAGTAGCTCCTTAGGGGACCCTGTCTGCACAGCCATGCTTCCCTGGTGCCCGAGCTCTGCCTGCTCGAGGCTCTTGGGAGGATCTCCCTTGAACAATATATGTGCAACTTCTCTGGGGCTGTGGGCAAGATGTGCATCTCACTGGCATTGAATGAACTTGGCCACGATCCCCTCAACTTTGAACCCTACTTTCATCCTGAGCAAGATGGGCACAAGAATGCCTTTTCCCAAGGCTTCTGTAAGAGTGTGCGAGCTCTGTGCTTGTCAAGTGACTGACACTTAGGAAATAGTAATTGGCTTTTAAAAGTCGAAGTCAAAAAATTAATGCCTGTAAAATTTAAGGGCGTAGAAAATGAAGTGTTCTGTGTCAGTGAGTAACTAGTTGGGCAGTTGAAGGAGGTTGGTCCAGGGCTTTTAGTAGACTTTCACCAATATTCCTTATGGGTTAAGTGCTCCGGCTCCTGTCATCCCTGAGAGTTGCTGCTCTGTCTTTATAGTATGTGGGATCTGCCATTAGGGTTAGATGTTACTCCTCTGTTTCCAGAAGAATTCAGTTGAAATATACTTTTGTCTTTTTAAACCATTGTTGTAGCACAGTTTGAGTCTAAAGTTCCAGAGTGGAGCCTGTGTGGGTGGACATATTCTGAATTCAGCTCCACCTTTCACATGACCGCTGTAACTGATTCTAACTTCATTCAGCTACTCTGATGCTTTGTCTGTGCTGTTCAGATGTTGGCTATGGAGCGTGAAGGAGACAAAGTGCTTAGCATCATGGCTAATGTTCTGATGTTATCAGTTATCCTGAGTAGCAGCAATCCTATTGCTCCCCAAGCAGTGGTTTCATTTATTTCCTCCAAGAATTGCTTCCAGTTCTGCAGAGCATGGACAATACTCTGTGGGCATGCTATGGCCATCATTGCCCCTGCCATTGACCAAGGTCACACTGGCTCAGAGTGGGGAAGAGACAGGCTTCTTGTTCATGATGTGGATGAAGGGGAAAATATAGTGTTCTGCCCACTGGCAACCTGACCCTCTCACTGGAACTCCTCAGGCTCCATGTGATATTACCATGTGATAGCACTGAGCTAGCCTCTGAGTAAGCTTGTGTGTGTCCCAGACTGATAAGTCCTTCCAGAGCAGCCCAAGACTGCCAGAGCTCAGCATCCAAACACTTATTGGAACTTTGCTGAATGCCATGGGCATAGACAACATGCAGAGGAGCACTTTGGCTAGATTTGATTTCTCTCTCTTGCTCTGTGGACTACCTCAGCTTCAACTGTAACCCTGCAGGAGCTCTGAGCAACAAGGGTGGAGTTTAACTTGCCTTTTATTCCCCAAACAGGCCTTGGAAGACCGTGGTATTATAGAGATGCTCCTGACCTCAGACAACAAAGATGGCCTGCAGAAGGGAGTGGTCAATGGAGGTACCTGAATTCAGGAGGCTGCCTGCTCGCTATTCTGCACAATCCCCTGGCATGGTCTGAGATAGAAGCAGGAGTTTCCCTGTGGTGCAGAGCACAGGGCTTGGCACTCTGGGCTGCAGGGGAATTAGGGTTCACAGTATCTCCCATGGCCCCTTCTCTTCTATTTAGTAAATGCCTTACCGAGGATCTTCCAAACATCTAAGGACCTGGGCAGCTGGGTCTGGCCATTTGTTCTTGCTAAGCACATAGGGCGTTCACAGTGCTGCAAGTGGCTGCCCCCATTGGCAGGTTTCCTTTTTCAGAAAACTGCAGCTCCATCTCTCCTCAGCTGCGTCAAACCTTGCAGTTATTCTCAGCGCCCTCCTGCCTGACACAGAAGCCACTGGCACATCCTTTTATCTTCACTTTTCTCTTCAAAATGGACCTGGCACTCAGATGTGTTTGCTACCCTTCGTGCCTGCAACACAACTGTACTTTGCTAATCCCTCCAGCAAGCTTCCCTTAATACAGCGATTTGTCCCCCCTTTGAGAATGCGACCCAGGAGTCAGAGCTGTGGCACACACTTGTGATCACAGCACTAGGTAGTGATGCAGGAGGGTCATGAGTTTGAGGCCAACCTGGGCTACCGAGCGAGTTCCAGCTGAGACTCCGTGTTTCCTAACAAATAAGCATACAGGCCAGATCATCTTGCCCTACTGCTGGAGCTCCAAGTGCTCCATAGAGAAAAGAGGCAAGCACACACTCTGAGAGTGGCCAAGTGGGCTCCCCACATGTCTTCCCTCCCATAGCCCTTCTCCACGGCCTGCTTCCATAGTCCCACAATGACCCTGAGTGGTGTGCCTCACAGTCTCCACACACACGACCAGCTGAGCTGCTCTCCAGCCGTGTGCTCTTTCTCACTCTGGTCTACCCTCCTGGCGCCCTGTCTGTCTCTCGGGTACACAGAACACCCTCAGATTCGGTGACTCTGCACACCTTTTGGAGATCTGCGTGGCTTGCCTCCCAGTAGTCTTTGCAGTGAGGTTTTCTCTGAGCACCCTGTTAGACCATGCACCCCTTCACAAGGCTCAGCCCACTCTGCCATTTCGCCTTTTAACCTCTGGAGTAGCTGGCTCCACTCACTCTTCTGTCCCACTGCAGCAGTGAGCTCCATGGCCTGGGGCTGTCTCCTCTGGCCTGGGCTTGAACATGTGCTCATGGCTCATGCTCACAGGGCTTGAAGAGCCCTCTCGTCAGTTGCAGTGTGACTCTTTCTGTGGCCCCTGTGTTGTGCCGCTCTGCTCGTGCGTCTCTCCTCATGTCTCTTTTGTTCCTTTTGCGTTTCCCTCTCTAGACTGACCTGTTTGTAGATGGTGACTTTTAAATTGATATCCCTCCCACAGTACCTGGCAGGGTTGCCTCTGGGGATGACTGTTGGGTGGATGGAGAGGAAAAGGTTCTTATCTACAGCAAGCACAGTGAAGATAAGATGGTCATTCTCCTTGGCTGTGACAAAGACCAGTAGTGATCCCTGCTACTTCCACCAGGTGGCACCATCTACTCATATTTGCTCCCAAGGCCCCTTTGAAGGGTGATGGGGTGTGAGAGCCTATTGAGGCCCTCAGAGATGCTCTCTTCATCCCCACACAGGCTCTAGCCCTTGCACATCTGCTGTCTCTGCTGCCTGGAATGACGATTTTTAATTTAAAAAGCATTCATTCACATGACCTATAAGTAAAATAATAAAAGAATACTTATCAAGAAATACACCTTTATGGGGCAGTGGTGGCGCTCACCTTTAATCCCAGCACTTGTGAGGCAGAGGCACAGGCAGGTGGATCTCTGTGAGTTTGAGGCCAGCGTGGTCTACAGAGCTAGTTCCAGGACAGGCTCTAAAGCTCCACCAAGAAACCCTGTCTCAAAAAACAAAAACAAAACAGCAAATAAGAAAAAGAAAAAAAAAGAAAGAAAAGAAAAGTAAAAAGAAAGACACTGTCCTCCTTATCCCATTCCCCAGAAACAGCCATCTTGAGCTGTACCTTTTCTTTCAACTCTCCCCGTCCTGTTTCTATTCAGCCCATGCACATCTGTTGACTTAGGGTTCTGAGGCTGTCCTCCTGTTGCCGTGGATAGCTGGGGCTTGCTTCCTTGTTCTCACACACCTTCCGTTTCTCTGGCTTCAGCGCTGATGTGCATCTTGGTAGCATGTGAATCGGGCAGCGAGTCAGACTGCTGCCCTTTCAGCTTCAAGGAGTCACTACCCCATTTTTCAGATCTCCCTCTGTCTCTCCCCCTCCCTGCCTTCTCTTTTTTATGTTGTAGTTCAGGCTGTTCTCAAACTCATGATGCTTCTGCCTGGCCTTGTAAGTGATGAGATAATGGGATTACAAGCATGTGCCACACATGGGGACCATCCTGACTTATTCCCCAGCCGTATCACGCCCCCATCTCTCCTAGAAAATGTCTTAACAGAGATCTCCTTAGCTCCCATCTTATGTCTCCTTTGTTTGTAAACATTTTATTTGTTCCTTTTATTAGTCCTGCTTGCCCTGACTTTCTGTTACTAGTCTGCCCATTTTTTTGAGGGGAGATGAAGCTCTTAAGACAGGTAAAGGAAGTGAGCAGGAGTCTTTCCCTGTGGGGGTAAATGGTGCCAGGGGACTGTTCAAATCAGGAAACTCAAATGTCAGTGTCTAGAGATACCAGTTTTAAGCAGCTATAGAAGCTGCCTCTGACTTCTTGCACAGATATTTGAGGAAGAAGCGTGAGGAAGGCTTAGGAGCCACTTGCTCTGGAATCCCCTCCAGTCTTCCCTTCTACTCCTCGCCCTCATGCTCCCATGTTTCCTAAGAGTGTGCGAGCCCCACTGAAGGGGCGGACGCTGGTGCAGAGGAAGCTTGACAACGGGTGGGAGGGTGCCTGTGGATGGAGAGGGTCCCTTCATGGTGCTCAAAGTGGTGGAAGGGCTTATGGGGTCTGGTGGAGACAAACACCCTCGCGGCCCTGCTGGCCCTCCATGGTTTCCGCGTTCCCAGGGTTCCCTTGGCACTTTGCCTGTGCTCACATCCCCTCTGCAGCCTTGCTTCTTGCAGCCACTTTGTGTCCCCTTTCTTGGATTTGATGAAGTGTCAGGATGACATGACCTAGCTGTGCATGTTCAGTTAGCCCTGCACACTGGCTTGACTTGAAGATTTAACAGTTTTTTTCTCAATATATGTTTTTATTTAAATTAGAAATGTGAATGTTTCACATATCAGTCCCAGCTCCCTTTCCCACCCCTCCTCCCTTGACCCTCCACCAGGCCCTCCAGCCCCCCACCCAATTCCCATATCATTCCACAGGGAGAGTGAGGCCCTCCTTGGAGGGGATCTCTAAAGTCTGTCATTTCATCCAGGGCAGGACCAAGGCCCTTCCCCATGTGTCCAGGCTGAGAGAGCATCCCTGTATTTGGAATGGGCTCCCAAAGCTCATTCATACACCATGGTGAACATTGATCTACTACCCAAGGCCCCAGGGATTTCCGTGGCCTCCTCCTCGGCACTACATTCATGGAGTCTGGGTCAGTCCCCTGTTGGCCTCTCAGGCATCAGTCTGGGGTTCAAGAGCTCCCCCTTGTCCGGTCAGCTGTCTTTATGGGTTTCACCATCATGGTCTTGACCCCTTTGCTCATCATTCCTCCATCTCTGTTACTAGGTTCCAGGAGTTCAGTTCAGTGTTTAGCTGTGGGTGTCTGTCTCTGTTTCCATCAGTCCCTGGATGAAGGTTCTAGGATGGCATATAGGGCAGTCATCAACCCTATCATCAAGGAGGGGCTATTAGTGTAGTCTCTCCACTATTGCTTAGTTTGCCAGTTGGTGTTATCCTTGTAGATCTCTGGAGATCTCTCTAGAGTCAGCTCACTCCTCACACCTATAAAGACTCGCTCTATTATGGTGTCTCTCACCCTGCTCTCCTCTATTCTTACCTCGACTCAACCTTCCTGCTCCCCCATGCCTTCTTCTCCCCTCTTCTTATCCTCCTCTGTTTTTCTTGGTTCCCTCTCCCCTCCCTCGGCCTCTTTCCTCAGTGGCCCAAGCTTCCTAAGGACAGGCCCTCATTTGCTCTGTCTTGCTGTGGCACCAGGGACCATCTGGGGGAGCCCCGTGAGCCCCCAGTGACCATGAGACGGCAGGGTGAAGCCACTGAAGAAATGGGCATCCCTGGCAGAGGGCAGAGAGAGGTGCCCAGGGCAAACTGGCCACCGTGCCCGCACTGGGCCAGACCTGGTGGAAGGAGCCAAGGAGGAACTCTGCTAGCCCTCCGAGAGCTGGCTCAGAAGGTGCCAGAGGGTAAGAGGCAAGCTTGGAGGCCGAGGCGGCGTGTCTGTGTGCACTTGCGAGGGCCGTCTGTGTGCACTTGCGAGGGCCGTCTGTGGGCACTTGCGAGGGCCGTCTGTGGGCACTTGCGAGGGCCGTCTGTGGGCTGTGTGTGCCCGCGAGCTTGCCCGTGTGCTCTGCTTGTGTGATCTTGGTCAGGAGACACTTGGGACGAGCTCTGCACGTGTGTCGGCGGGTGCCCGCGATCGCGTGTCCTCTACAGGTGTGAGAACAGGAGTGCAGGAGGAGGCCAGAGTGTCAGGGCCGCCCGCCCTTTAAACAGGCTTCCTGAAAGGGGTGGTTAACTTTAGACAGGAAGGGCTCTAATTGGAGGATCTTCCCCTCTGGGCTGCTAGAAGACAGTGACATCACAGGATAATTTCCTGCTGTGAAGGGTCCTGCGTTTGCAGCCCTATGCTGCTCACAAATTGTGGACCACCAGGGACATTTCTGTTCCTTTGGAGCCTTAGCTTTGTTTTCCTCACTGGTTACCATGGCCTGATATCCTGGATGGTAGCTGGGGTTGAGCAACCTGTCCTAATCATTCCTAAGCTCATTCATCTGCAACTGACCATTCAAGTGGACAGTAAGCAGAACTTGGAGTCAAGTTCTACGGCTGCCTGTGACTGTGGCAGGGCCGTGGCCACCAGCCAGCAGTAGCATTTTTCTTGAGCATGCATTTTGCTTATGGAAAGCTGTATAAAATACTGGTTAAAATAAACACATTGTGGAATAGAATAGATTGAATTCTTATCAAGAAATGAGACACGAGTCTTCATTGAGATCATTGCCCTTGGTGTACAAAGGCATTACCATTGCACTTGGAGTACAGTGTAGAGCTTAGGCTCTGGTTCCTATGACAGTAGTTCAGAGAAACCTTCACTCTGCCTGCTAATATTAGAGTCAGTAAAAATCAGATGCTGTGTGTTGTGGTTCTACTCTGTATTGAATGATGGAATTTCCACAGGAGCTAACTTCTAATGGGAGGGGGGGAACAATGTCTATACTAACTGTCATATATATACATACATATATATATACATATATGAAATCCACCAGCATATATATGCATATACACCATACATATATGCATACACATATATGTACATGTATGTATATATGTACATATGTACATATCTATCTATATCCATCTATCTGTCTATCTATCTGTCTGTCTATCTGCTGGTAGATTGAAGACTTGGGTAATTCAGAAAATCTTTGTGACTTCAAGAGTATGCTTTGTTTTTCTTTCTTCCCAGTGCTGGCCACCATCAACTTACAGTCTCAACAGGAGCTGAAGGCACTCAGTAGTGTTCTCTTATCTATACAGGTAGGTCTGCCCAAGGGATGCTGTGGATCTTCTGGCTTGAGTTCAGGGATCTCATATGCCTGCACCATGCCCAGAGTTCTGTAATGGGGGCAACTCTTAGCTTTCCCAGCCTCTTGGCTCATGCCTCATTGCCTCATGGCTGAGAGGCAAACAGCCCAGCGTCTCTGCTCTGAAGAATTTCTTTTTGTGTAGACTGACAACATCTAAGTATGCAGTGCTCTGTTCAGGACACCTTTTGAAGCTTTCAACTTTTATGGACTCTGTGAGCCCCAGCCTTGCTTTGAGAGATTGAGAGGGAAAAGAAGCCTCTCTGTCCCATATCATAGAAAGTACCCTACCATAATCTCATTGGCACTGTGTATATTTTTGTTATCCATAGGACAAGAGGCCTGGTTGTTTCCAAGTTGGGAAAAGAGAGAGGTTTCTGGGTATATTTCAGCTTCTTCAGGTTGATGGTCACAACTAGCCCCATCCCAGTTGGTGTCTCTAAGTTTGTGTGTTCCTCCTAAACAGACAGATGTGATTGGGGCCAAGCTATATCCCATGTGTGAAACTCAGAGCCCATCTTAGCCTGGCTTATAGAAGGGGGTGAATGCCCCCAGCTTGACCCTACCAATTGCATATCCACCCGGGTCCTAGAGTGAAACTGCTAAGAGTGTATTGACAATGGCTAGATGTCTATGGGGATTCTGGGTCAATGGTGTGGGCATACTTGTGGTTCATTGAGTAGATTGTTTTAACCATTGGACTTTCAGAGTAGGCATGACATCCTCAGTACACTCAGATGAAGACATCATGAGTGTGAGTACATATGTATGGTGTGACTATTCCTGCAGTGTAGATAGATTTTGGCCCAGAAAGGGCAGGAAGGCTCTTAGGAGGAGGGCAGGCCTGATCACTGGTAGACTTCTCAGAGGGGAGGGATAATGCATGTACATGTTTGGCTTCAAGTGGAACCTTTTCTTCTCATCTTCCTTCTCCCAGTATAGCCTAGGACTTTTCTCTGTCTGTAGAAGTGTCTGGTCTGCCTGTCTTACTTCAAAACTGATTGTAGGGCCTCTTTCTTTGTGGAGTCTGTAATCTACATGGGAAAAGAGGCTCACAAGATAATGTCTCAAAGTGGCTAAGCAGCATTGCAGTTGAGTGCTGTCAAGGGAAGTGCGGGTGCCGGGAGCTGCTTAGGATCCACTTGGTCACTCTACTGTGGGACTTTGGACACATTGTGTGGCTCCTCTGTATTTCTCATTTCCCTTTAGTTGAATAGGTATAATGTGAACCTTGACTTGAATAAGGTAATATTTGAAAAGTACCTCAGTACTAGTGATGGAAGGAGTGTCTGTGCTGGTTCCTTTAAAACTTGCCATGTCAGTGCTGTTGGACTGACTGTGCTGAAGTACTTTTTTGTATAGTCCATGACATCTGTCCTTACTTAAATAAGTGGTTTTATATGAAGGGCTTCATTGAATGGACACTATAGACCCCAGCACTGGTTAACTTTGGTGCATTCATTACTCCTCATGTATGTGCCCAGTGTGTACTCTCCTGGGTACCAGAGATTTATATGCATCATTTCATCTAATTCTCCTAGTGAGCATGGCTGCTAGTTACTGTCGCTGTTACTGCTATCTGTGGTCAAGCAAATGGACACAAAATGAGAAAGCACCCAGAAGATGGTCAATTGGTGTTGGTTGCACCACATTCTGCAGTGAGACAGCTTGGTCCATGCTGGACATTCACTCCATCCTACATCACAGAAGGCCTTAAGCAAACAAACCCACTGTTGTCACTGGAGGTTGTAGGGATTTAGGCCTTCAACTCTGCTTCTCCCTTTTGGGTGACTTAAATGTGTGCATTGTATTACATATCTCGGGATGTAGATAGTTTGTAGAAAGAAACAAAGCTACTACCTTGCTAAAAAAATCTTGTGGCTATGTTGGCTTTTATCCAAGGACAATTGGTACCTTCTATGCCATGGACCATTAAATAAGCCTCATCTGTCTGGAACATGTTCTGTTGCTTTTTATGCAGTTTCAAATGTCAGGCCAGCCCTGAGAGAGGATACTTAATCAACTGTCACTGAATAAATGAGGAATGCTTCTCGACCCAGAGCCTAAAATCTTAGCAAATGATCATAACTGCCCAGGTGTTTCCAGCTTTTGCAAGCGTGGTGGGGCCAAGCATAGTCCCCAAATGGAGAAAGCAGATGCCACTTCAGTATTCTGAAGTAATAATCAATCAATATCCCAGGGAAGGTATGAATGAATCCAGAGTGCAGCTGTTGAGCTTGCACCATGATTCGCTGCTCTGTTAGGTAGGATCTGATTCTCTGGCTTAGTTCTATAAACTGTTGTTTAAGTCGGAACTTAAAGAAGACCCATCCTGAAGCCTGCTGACTTCCACATATGGCAAAGCAGTACTTTGGCCTGTTTGCATCCATGTTATGGCTCTTCAATGTACTCATCCAGAATAGGACATTCTTCCTCCATGGTGAAAGATAGGCAAATGTTGTCTTGAGCCAGAATGCAATCTAATCAGCGTTAAAAACAGCATCCAAGGCAGTTGGGAAATTCTGATGAAGTCTTAGTTTGAACATATACTTGTGTTGTCTTGTGAGCGCCCATCATATGCACCCTCAAAAGCATATTAAACATCAACTCTGATAGCCTCTTCCATATTATACCAGCAGGCGGTGAGGTGGTGATGAATGATCATCTATGCTGTGCACCTACAAGTCTCTCAGACAAGGGGTAGATAGATGTTCAGGGAGAACAAAGGTACTGGGGTTCCTTTTAAGATCAGCCAATCTGCCTAATTCTTATTTTGTGGTACCCAGGGGATTCAACCAAAGATGGTGATGGAGTACTGGACTGGGTGGTTTGACTCATGGGGTGGCCCCCACAATATCTTGGATTCCTCTGGTGAGTGCTTTATTTTGCCTACATCTAATATGTATGCTGACCCTGAATAAGAATGTGTTTTACATTCCCTGGCATTGTGTATGGGGTTATAGGATCCTAGGTTCCTGGGATCATTTGTGTTCATACTCAACTCTCCTTATTTCAGTCTTGACTTGAAATAACAGTAGGGGCTTTCATTATTGCTTTTCTGTGAAACACATGCTTATTGCAAATATCTAAGAAATACAGGTAAGTTTAAAGAAGAAATAAAAGCCCTCAAGTTCAGATCAAGCATTTTGATGTACTTACTTAACTTTATAGGCAGCCCATAGAATATCTCCATCTATGTACACACAGATAAAACTAGAGGCAGATTAATCAGATCTACACACACACACACCATTCTATATTGTTGAACATAGGAATACTTGGAGTAACTGGAAATCACTGTCTTAAAGACTTTGAAGAGCCCCATTGTATTGACGTTGAAACTACTCTTTAGTGACCCAGTTTCTTATTGATGGTTGCTTAGTTTTGGGTTTGGTTAATTGAACACTATTTAAGTGATCATCCTTCATCATTTAGTTTTGTATACGTGGCATGTATTTCCATATGAAAAAGAACAAATTGCTACATCAATGCAGTTTTAATATATGTATTCACCACTGCCCTCCATAAAGCAGCCTACTGGTCATATTAAATGAAAGTACTCATTTCCTGTAGATTCATGAGTACCAAGAAGTATATTGATTTTTTAAAATTTGCCAATTCACGAGGTTAGTATTGAGTTTTCATTTGCTGTATATATCATGCAAATATATATTGAGGAACCTTTTATTTTGTTGTCTGATACTCTCTTTGCATATCACTGCCTCATTTACCAGTTAAGGGAGGACTTAGGGATATAGGCAGGACTAATGTGTAATGGGGTCCCATTTCCTTGGAACAGAGTAGCCACTGGGTGACATGCCATCTGGTAGTGTAGAAGCAACCTACTGGCTACAGATTGTCCAGGGAAAGATGTATGGCCCAGTGATGAAATGGACCTGGTGGGGATTGGGAGGGGAGGGAACCAAGAGGCCTAGTTAGGGCTTCCCTTACACTCGGACATTCTAAACATCCCTCCTCCTTGTTCTCCTTGAAGAGGTTTTGCAAACAGTGTCTGCTATCATCAAAGCCGGCTCCTCCATCAACTTATACATGTTCCACGGAGGCACAAATTTTGGCTTCATAAACGGAGCCATGCATTTTAATGACTACAAGGCTGATGTCACCAGCTATGGCAAGTATCTGTTCTCCCTGTTCTTTCCTAGTGTTTGTATGGCTAGTGCTTTTGATGGAGAGTCCTTCAGAGACAGTTTTTGGCTCCTTTCATGTCTTTGGCTATATAATATCCAGGGAAGGTATAGGCTTTGTCTGTCCCCTCAAAAGTTCTAGAGCACTAGGTGCCTACGAACAGCTTGCTGTGGTTAGAGAGCTCTTTGGAGGATCAAGGGAAGGCAGGCAAATCTAGAGTGATAAAGATGGGAATAGCCTTCCCTCTTCTTAGAACCTTGAGAAAGTCTTGGCCTGCCCTCCTTCTGACTGAGTTTGAAGAAGTAGAACAGATGCTTTGTTGTATCCACATGCAGTAAAAAATTTAGGATCATGCTGTCTCATGGGCACTTTTGTAGTATATAGTACCTACCACATTTTGACTGAATGGTTCACAATAAAAGTGTTTTTCTCCAAGACTGCCGGTTTGAGGATTCTGTTCTTCCAACCCAGTTCCCTCCTCTTCCTTTCTTCTCCTTTTTTCTTCATCCCTTTGCACTGTTCTGGGACAGGAGAGACTGAAAGGTTGATGGATGTCTTGCAGACTACGATGCTGTATTGACAGAGGCTGGAGATTATACTGCCAAATACACCAAGCTTCGAGACCTCTTTGGAACCTTCTCAGGTACAAACAGGCAGCAGATTCAAACATTCACTTGCATCCATGCTTTTGCCATGAGTCCTTGGAGTTTCTGCTGTCTTGCTATCCTACCTCAACTCCAGCTTATCCATATTCAAGAATATTCTAGACTACTAGGAATGTAGCTCCATTGAAAAACTCTTGCCCAGCATGCATAAGGCCCTGTGTTCCACCGTGAGCACTGCCTAAACCAACCAACCAACTAACCAACCAACCAACTAACCAAGCAATCAACCATTCTAGACAAAGAAAGTTTGAGAGATTATTTTCATCATGCTGTGCCTCTTGTATTTAGCTCATACTAAGCCTATTTATGACATATAGAAGACATGAGGAAGCCTTGCCCTTGCCAACACCTCATGTTCTAGAGTAGTTCCAGCACTGAATAGGGCCTGTGGTTGATATTGGTGTCAAGATGAAAGGAGTACATTGGACTGTGGGTATGAGGCTGTAGGAGAAGTGATGATTGAATCTTTAAGGGAGGGCCATGGTTCCTGTTGCAGGTATCCCTCCACCTCCTCCACCTGAGCTTACTCTTAAGATGACCTATGAGCCAATGAGGCCATCTTTCTACATATCACTGTGGGATGTTCTCCTGTACTTGGACGACGTAAGTGCTGCAGGCTGGGCGTCAGGGATAGGATCCAGGAACTTGCCAAATGCGGTTCTGGATGAGCAAAGCCACTCAGTGGCATTGAGGTCTCTCCTTAACCAGAGAACTGAGTGAAGGGAATACAGTGGTGCTGGAATGGGGATTGGGAAAGCGTACAAGAGCTTGAACTTGGTTCCCCGCCTCCTTTAGCCTCAGTGGTAGGCCTGGGTCCTGAATAGAGTGAGGAGAGGAGGGAGGGATGATCCTTTTACTGTGGAGAGGAAAGAGGGCACTTATAGTTCATTCATTTGTGATGCAGACATGTTACTCGGTTAAGGATTCTAGAGGATTGTAGGACCCTAGTGAAATCTCCCTTTTCTTGTCGACCATATTTCTGTGACTCTAATGAGCCATGAGTTTAAGCTGGTAAGAAGATGGAATAGAAAAAAGAGCCTAGAGAAACCTTGCATCCTGTCTCTGATGTCCTTGCTGCTCAGGTGAAGACTTAGAATTAGGATCAGCCTGGCTCCTGTGCCTTCTTGTGTCTTCTTATGTAGCCAATCGAGTCTGAGATTCCCATCAACATGGAGAACCTGCCAGTAAACAATGGCAATGGGCAGGCCTTTGGGTACGTTCTGTACGAGACCACCATCTTTTCATCTGGCATCCTCAGTGGCCATGTGTGCGACAGGGGACAGGTAGGAGCATCTCCTCTGAACTCCCAGGACTTTGTAGTCACAAGGCATGTCAGTACATACCTTATTCTCTGCCTTCACAACCAGCTGTTGCCAGTGTGTAAAATTGGTTATCTCAGCTATCTGGAAATTGCATGGTCTTTCCCTCGTAACTGGTGTTCACTTTTCCTCCTTATGGCCAAGAACCTTCATAAGTCCCCACAATGGTACTTGTTTTATTGTTTAGTAGAGACTCCTCCTATCTTCCTCTCATTGACCATGATTTTCATCTCACTTTGGCAGGTCTTTTTGAACAGAATATTCATAGGATTCTTGGACTATAAAACAACGAAGATTACTATTCCCTTAACCCAGGTTTGTTATCCTAGGGTGATGGCTAGGAAGATCAGGAAGCCAGGAGGCTCCTTAATTAAGAACTGGAAAAGAGAAGGGCACACCTAGCTTTCTGATCAGGTGGGGTTCTCACTCCCATTCTCAGAGCCTAGAGAATGGCTGAGGAACACAGAGATCCCCAAGTGTAGCTGGGTTATCAGGCAGTGATAACTGCCCACTCTGTTCTTGGCAGGGCTACACCACGCTGAGGATCTTGGTGGAAAATCGTGGGCGAGTCAACTATGGGAATAATATTGACGCTCAGCGCAAAGGTGGGTCCTGGTATAGAGCAGGAGAAAAGCTATCATCACTCATCAGGCTTGTTTATTTGTTTGCTATTGAGTACATTAACAGGCCACTGGGGCCTTTCTCAGGGACGTGGTTTATGGAGGCCTGTTGCAGGGAGGTGGACCGTGGTCACCATTGCAAGAGAGGTGGCTCATGGAGATTTATTGAAGAGAGAAGGTGTCTGATTTACATATAGTTCTGGGTTAACATGTCAGGAGGGTTTGGCCACTTTCCCTTTAGTGTTTCATAATTGTATAGTGCATGTGCCCAGGAAGAGTCTCCATAAGCTCTGAGATGGCCTCTCAGTCTTTATTCCGAAATCTACTTTGGTGGGTAAGGAGCAAGGAATGGGAGTACCCTGAAGCCCATGGTATAATTTAAAACACCTGCCTTCTGCATCTCTGCTCCTCATCTTACTCAGGGAAAGTCACCGGCAGTGCTCTGTGCTCAGGAGGAAGCCAGACATGCCGTGGGCACACCGCGTTGGTTGTCTTGCCCCTCCAGGAGTAGCCCCCCACCATGTCTCTGGCTTTCTGAATCATTAGACTTTAGTCCCTTTCCTTTCCCTGTCTGTCTGTATGTGGGTAGTATCCTGAGCAGTATAAGAAGGGAACTAAGTTAAAATAAGGTCTTCCTATGGTGAGCAGGTTGGTGACATTCCATTTCACTTTCTTCCTTTCTGCATTTGTGGTGGGAGAAACTTTCACCTCTCTTTCATGGTCAGGATGTCAACTGAAAGCCTCTGGTACATGCCCAGAAAGTGATACGGCTTCAGCCTTTAGGGTTTCCTCTCCGTAAGAGCCTCAGTTACTCTGGCGCCATCTAGCGCCACCCTTGGAGTGCCATGTAACAACACAGCACCATCTAGGCCACCATCCTAGACTGTCAGCAGTTCTCCAGTATTTCTCCACAGGCCTCAGCACCTTCCTCAGTCTTCCTTCTCTGGACCCATTCTCTCTGCTTGTTATCAGACTGTCCAGTCTTTATTTTCCTTGGATCTTAATTGAGTGTGCCCTGACTATCTGTAGAATCCTGCCCTCTCGGCCAGTTCAGTGTCACATGCTTGTCGCTGCCATGGATGTTGATCCAGGACCAGGTGTCCCCACCCTTAAGGTGCTGAGCAGCTGTCCTTCAGGTATGCACTTGCTTACTGCTGGACACCTGTTCACAATTGAGATGTCTTTAGAGTTAACATTAATGTTGGGTTGCATAGAGAGTTTCTGGCTGAGTGACCAGGTCTCTAGTCTGAGATCCTGATGATACCAACAAGTTAGGCTCTCTGTCACCACTTAGCCCCACTGCCCCTCGGAAAGAAGCCGGAAGCCAGATGCTACACATTGACTTCTCAGTTTTGTCACTGTCCTCGATGCACTGCTCTTTATGACAAATCCTAGGCCTTGACAAACAGTGGTCTTGTTTATTGCCACTTTTTAGTGCAAGTGCAGAGAACCTCGGGCAGCATATGCTTTAGGAAAACCCTCTTCGTCTTTCCTGGAGCGTCTGCATGAGCCTTGGATGCAGATGTGCCACCGGTCTCCTGATTCAGGGCTTGCTTGCCTTTCTTTGCCCACTTCCTCCAGGTTTAATTGGAAATCTCTATCTGGACAATATTCCTCTGAAAAAGTTCAGAATCTACAGCCTGGATATGACAAAGCGGTTCTTTGACAGGTGGGTCCCTGCGAGTCTGGTAATGAGATCATAACTAACATGTACCAAGAGCTAGGAGTAATCTGGTCTCCCTGCCAGGGTCCTGCAGTGTTATAAAGAGACCCAGAGGCCAAAGTCGCCTACCTAAGGTGAGGGGTAGGACCAGCACGGTAACCCATGTTTCCAGAATGGGAAATGCCCATCCTGCTACCTTGCTGCTATCCTATGACCTGGTTGGGGGTGTGTGGCTCCTAGCCTTGTTGGGGGAACAGATGTGCCTTAAGAATTAGATGCAGGTCTGAAAGCAGATGTGAGATGGCCCTTCTCTCTTTTTTTTCTGCTTACATCTTGTCCTTAGGCTCGACATGGACAAGTGGAATTTCGTTCCCAAAGAGCCCACCTACCCTGCCTTCTTCCTGGGTGCCTTGTCAGTTGGCATTTACCCTTCTGACACATTTCTGAAGCTAGAGGTTTGTAGGACCCCTTTCCTTTTTATACTCTCCCATTTTCTTGAGGCTCTGAGCCCAGGTGGCTTGAATGGAGTGCTCTGTAACACCTGGGCCCAGAGGCCTCCTTGTCTTTCTATGTTGCCTCATATGATAGGAACCCCGTGAGTCCTCTGTGGCAGAGGAGTGGGCTCAGAGCAGAACCACCTGTGGTTCTTCTCAGTACATAGGTTCTCATGGACAGTCTGAGGTTGACGACTCTGACTGGGAGGCTCACAACAGTGGGGTGGGTTGACCTACATGGATATCAGATGTTGGTTCACTTTGGTCTCTCAGGACCATGGTCCATATCTCACTGTGTCTATTTCTGGTGTGGCTTTACTTTTGAGGCTTTTGTAGTAAATCAAGACCTTCCCAATTTTATTTCAAGGGCTGGACAAAGGGGGTTGTATTTGTCAATGATCACAACCTTGGACGCTACTGGAACATAGGACCTCAGAAAACTCTCTACCTCCCAGGTGTCTGGCTGGACAAAGGACTCAACAAGGTGGGGATATTTCTAGGCTCCATCCCTTGTAACTCTCTTCCCATCCCTGTTCTCCCTGCTAGCAAGTTGCTTCTCTGCCCCCGAAGTGCTTGGCCAGGGAGTGGGCGAGGGTGGGTATCATCAGCCAGCCTGTTCTTCCCCCTTTCCTTGGTGATGACTCTGCACTCACCCTCACTGCTCCCTTCCATCCTCATTCCCACACCCTTCCTTCCATCCTGTTGTCGCCAGCTCTCACCTATCTGCAGGACAGACCTCACAGCCCAGCCCTTGTTTCCCACAGGTCATCATTTTCGAGGAGACAATGGCAGGCTCCGTGGTACAGTCTACTGAAACCCCCTACTTGGGCAGGAACCAGTATGTTAACTGAACAGCAGTCCCAGCCTTTCTGCTGTGGTTGGCAGCTTCCTTCCTTCCACTCCTACAGAAGGGTCTTCATAACTAGCAACCTCAGGGATTGAAGGACTATTGTCAACTCAGTCCAAAATCTGAGGGCACTAAAGAGAAAATGGGGTAGCATTGTCTGGGATACCCTCATAATGAGATGGCTTCTCTCTTGGTTTTGTGGTTGTGTTCCTTTCTGCTACCCTGCTCTTTCTGGGGAGGCCATAGGGCTATCGCTGAGGGTGGAGTATGCAGGTGTATCACCTTCAAGGAAGACGATGAAGTTAGGTGGGTACTGGAAGTGAAAGCCTCACCAGACTAACCTGCTGGATACAGGTAGGCTTTTTGAACACTCCGAGTAGGCCATGGCCACCTCCTATAGAGGTGCTTTGTGCTCCTGAATTTGTGGGTTTGTCATTGTTTGTAGAGCAAAGATAAAGTGTGTCTTACTTGAGTCAACTTGATTTTACTTTTCCGCTTTCCTCCAGCTAGTTTGGGGGTTCTGGAAGAAACATACGTCTTTTCCTTTTCATTTTGTCTCGTATTCCATTGAATCAGTTGATAAGCTGAGCTTAAGAGAAATAGACATGCTCAGTACTTTTTTTCCTAAGTTAAGAGAGCATTTGCTGTTGTCTGGAGTAAGGAGGTGTGTCACCAAAGAGGAACAGCCTCACCAGGGGAGGAGCTGGGGATTTCAGCAGAAACCACCTCGTATCCATGGTCTCGAGAACAGAATGGCAGAAGGCTTGGCTAAGTGGCACAGGGCATCTGCCCCTAACCATGCAGAAGAATTTGGGGTTAGCTACAAGCCCACAGGTTTAGCACAGGCCTTGTGTCCAGCTCAACTGATTCTTTGAGAACTTTCATTCTCCTTCCTTACACAGCATTGGGAAGGGGAAGGCAGCCAGCTGTCTGCCATGTTGTCTCAGTCCAGATTGAAGGGATCAGTGCAATGGCTTGGTTTGGGTTTGCCACCCTAAATTGCAATAAAGCAATATATTTGAAGCAAATCTTCTTTGTGGATGTCTCCAGCTTGTCTGTGCCACTCTAAGCCATGGGAGAAGGTGACCCTTAAGGATCCAGAGATTGATGGTACCCAGCTGGAAGATGGCACATACCCCTGACTTCTTACCATCTTTCCTGATTTCAGTTTTCCTTGAAATGTCATTGCATTAAGAGCAGTCCAATATCATGCAGGTGGATAAGAATAAGAACATTCTAGAAAGCCCAAACCTTTCTTCATAAATTACATCTGATATGTACTTTCTTCATAAATTATATCTGATATGTACTACTCCAAGCTGGTTATCTTCAATAGTAGTGAAAATCAAATAACACACATATGTGAACACAGTGTCCATAGAGAAAGAAGCCCAGTGAAGATGGGTTAGGCAAACACAGGGCAAATGAGAGGCTCACAGGCTGGCAGGCTGCCTCCCTGAGTGTGGCTGGGAACAGGGTTTGTGCTGGAGCCAGAGAATGTGGCCTGGTGTGCAGCCACTGAGCGGAGAGCCCAGCTAACTTCCTTGTGGGTGGTCGCGGGGTCACAGCCCATGTCCCACTGTGTCTGAGAAGTTGTTTGTTTTTTTCTTTCTTACTCTCTCTTTTTTTAGATGGGGTCGTGTTATGTAGCTCAGACTGGCCTTGGATTTTTCAGTTCTCCTTCCTTAGCTTCCCCAGTACTGAGGTTATAGGGTTGTTTGTGCATGCCCAACTCAAAGGAAGCTTTTTAAAAAAGCGCTTGCTTTAACGTTTTAAAATAAAAGTAGACAGTATTTAGTGTGTGTGTGTGTGGGGGGGGGTCCTGGGGAACAAACTCAGATTGTCGGGGTTGGGTGCCTTTACCCCCTGAGCCATCCTGATGGCCCTCACAGGAAGCTTTGTAAAGTGCAGGTTGCAGAGGATGCCTGAAGAGCAAGACAGACAGAGCCCCCAATTTTACCCTTTCTTGCCAGTTCTTTCTGAGATGCCTTGGGATATCAAGCATTCAGCTAAGATGCAAATGAGTTCAGGGCTACTTGAGTAGAGCCAGAGCCAGTGAGCAGTGTCTTATTGTCACTTTGTCTTGCATTACATAAGAGCGGATTTCTACAAAGCTGTATTCAGCAGGCTGTCCTGGGAAGTGTGACAGGCAATCGGAATCTAAAGGAATCTTTCGTAGCATCCTTCTGTAAGGGAGCAAAGAATTCTGAGTTACAGCTTTGTGCATACATGATCAGGTATGTATTGGGCTTGTCAAGATAAGGTCTCTCTGCAGCAACGTTTTTCTCTGCTTCCCCAGCATGTGTTGGCTGACCTTAGTTCTCCAGAGTTGACCAGTTTATCCAGATCCTATGTACCATGTATCTCTATCTTAGTCCCTTCAACATCCAAATGCCCTGAGACTCTGCCCACCCGATCTTTCTGTTGTCTGCCCACTGTGTGGGCTCACACCTGTGGGATCTTGACACCAGCATGCTCCGGTGTCTGTTCCCATTCTCACAGCAGGTGCACAGAGCGCTGACGCTCAGCATGCGTTGCATGTGCATGGCAAGGTCAGCAGCAGAGCTCCATTTTCACTCATGTGACCTCTCCTGCACTCTGTGCCGTATCAACACGTGGCAATCCTGTTCTGTGTCCCAGATTATTTTGGCTTCTCCCTCTTCATTCCGTAGCCAACCCCTTCTTAAGCATGTTTGGGCTGCAGCCACTTCTCTCTGGAGCTCGTGCCCTCATCCCCTCCACCGTCATCTTGTACGTGGTGCATCGCAGCGGCTGCCTCCCTACCTTGGCCCATCTGTCCTCAGCACAGGAACCAAAGTGGTCTTGGAAGTCAGTTCCATCAGTGGCTCCTGATTTCACTTAGAGTAGAAACCACAAACCTTCCCTGGCTTCAGAGGCCAACTGCTCAAGGCTTTCTTCCTGACTGGCCAACCACATCTGCCCTGCAATCCCACACCCGTCACTGGCCCACTCAGTTGCAGTCATCTTTCTTTCTTTCTTTCTTTCTTTCTTTCTTTCTTTCTTTCTTTCTTTCTTTCTTTTTTTTTTTTTTTTGGCGGAGCTATAGGCATAAAAGCACTCTGCATGCAGCTGGGGGCATTTCTCTCCTGTCAGCATTGTCCGCCTCAGCCGCACATTGCCTTGCTGCTCTTCTGCTCAAGGTCCCCGGATCAGGGAGGCCTTTCTCCCCATGCTTTAGGGAACTTCAGCCCCTCCCACTACTACCCCCCCATCCTCGCCAGCAGCTCTGCTCTTCTTAGAGCACCTCACACCTGAAATGCTGCACGAGTGCCATTGTCTGTCTCCTGGATTTGGTGGATAAGCCCCAGTGAAGACTGCCGTGTGCTGGCTCCTAGAAGAATGCCTATTCATGTAGGCATCTGGCAAAGATTTGTTGGATGGTTAAATTAATAAACGAGACTAAAATAAGGTAAGGCTGAAGAGGATTACAACTGTTAAAAACCATATTTGACTTTTAATTTTGAAAACAAATTAAATAGAGTTAAATTAAAACAGACCAGATGGTGCAGCCGCTTGGGCTCCACCCTCACACCAGCCTCTGCCTGTGGAGCTCCTGAAGCCTGGCTTGACTCCTGTGGTGGGGCTTTCCAGCGAGGGAGTGGGGAACAGCCTGGGTTTGGAGAACAGGTTGTCAACATGGACCCAGTTCTGATTTGTAACAAACTCATTCTCAACAAAGATGAGGGCTGCAGTCCACCAGGGTTGTAATTATAAATAAAGACACATGCAGCTAAGAGAGGATATTAGGTGAAAACAACTGAACTAGCATCTGCCAGAAAATAATAATAATAATAATACCCCCATTTTGTTTTCATTTTCAATTTCCTAAAAAGGAGCACTGGATTTTGGCTAAGAAGGCAGCCTCAGCAGCTAGTTTGACCTTGGCCTTCACTCAGTTTCTATGAATGAGCAGTAGAGTGCCCAGGTATAAATTCACTCCTCAGATAGATGCCCTGTGCCATTTCCTCCCTCTCCCTTGCCACCCACTTGATGCCAAGGGGTAAATTTCCAAAGTAACATCCAAAGTGTAAGTGGTCGGGGGAGGGGGATATCCTGCAAGGTGGCTGTGGAATCAGCCCACCAGATGGTTTCCTGAAGGCTGTGGGAAGTTAAATCCATGTCAGGATAGGCAGCTGATGCTATTTTCTGAATGTTAGGTGTGTGGACTGAGTCCCATCCGCCCAAGAACGGGTTCTGAATGACTCTCGGGTCCGTCCTATGAGTTTTAATGGAGGGGAAAGCTGTTAGCGGTTAAAAAATAAACACCTCTTCAGTGGGCTTGTGCCCTTTCCTTTTCCCCACGTGGGAGGAAAATTGTGCTTCCAACTTGTAGGAGCTGGAGTGAGATTACCACTAGGGGGCCCCATCCAGCCAGTGTCAGGGGCCTCTCAGATGCGGGACACCCATGCTTCTCTTGGGTGAGTGGGTACAACAGGCTGGGCATACTGTTTTCTCTGGAGTGGAGAAGGGGCAGTGGGCACGAGGCAGGCTGGCTTTGCAAGCGTTCCCATTTTGTGTAAGACAGAGTGATTTCCAAAGCAGGTCTCACCTCCTCTCAGTGTTCAAACACTCCCGCTCTTGTCTCCGAGGCCCCGGCTAAAGCACCCCTCACCGGACTTAGTGTGGGAAGGGGCTGTGACTGCTGTGCCTCACACTTTCTCGGGAAGAGCTCTGCCTATTTATTACTGTTAGCTCCAGCCCGGAGGTCTGTGATTCTCAGGTTCTGGGAAGAGGGCATTTTGCCTCCCCGGTCCAAGCCAGGCAAGGGGCATTGCAGCCCGCGGGTATTGGAGAGGCAGTGTGGACACTGGGTGACGCGGTTCTTAATCCAGGTCAGTCAGTGACCTGTGCTGGCTCTAGACCCACCACCTTGCCAGTTCTGGCACAGGAGGCTTGAGGGACACGGGAAGGGGCTTTGTTCTCCCACAGCCTGAGGTACAGGGAGAGCTGTAGGAAGGCCCAGGCTCCCCTGATGCAGGGCTGGGTGCCAGGTGGGACCCAAGACAGCCTTATGCCCTGTAAACATGAACCAGAGGAGAGCCAGAGGTATTTCTGATTTGGGAGCAGCTCTGAGGAAGAGCAGGTGTGAAAGAGGAGTGTGGGACATCTCCACGTCCCGGGCTGCTCTCTGGTCTTCACAATGTCCCGGCTGGGCACATGCTGTGTAGTCATGCTGGGCCCAAGAGGAGGGAGCCATGAAGAGCCATGCTGCACTGGACAGTGGGGTTTTCTGACCTCCCTCAGCTCCAGCATCACTCCAAGACGGGGTCACCTGCTTAAGCCCCACCAACGCAGGAAGCTTCCAAGGAGGTGTGCTGAGCCCGGGCTTGGCTGGCAGCTGGAAGCCCCAGCTCTCCGGTCTCTCAAGCCCCTGGCCATGTTGATGGAGAGAACAACAGGCCTGGGATTCTGTGCTTAAATTCTCTGTCTTTTATCCTGGCATCGAGCTGGACTTTCTTGGAAGCCCTCAGAATAGACAAGAGGTGATGCTGTTCCTCGGGAGTCTGCCTCAGAGTGACTATCAGCCATGGGAGAGGATGGAAGGCAAAGATCAGGGTCTGAGAAGGAGATTCCTGTGTGGGGAAAGTAGGGACAGCACAGGTGTCAGCCTGGGGCGAGATGGAGCTGGAACTGCATGTAGGACTGACTGCTCAATCCCGAGCCCCTAGTGGACTCCACGGGGCCTCTCTGGGTTCCCCTCAGACACCATTTTTGAAAAGCAAGTGGTGGAGGTTATTCTAGTGACCTGGTAAGATGACATATTCTAAGAGGCACTAACCAAGGACTTTAAGTTCAGGATGACTCCTTGTAGTCCCAAAGATGTGGTGCCTGATGATGTCCTGGCAAAATGAAGGTATTTGTCTGGTATGAGCTCCCAGATTTGTGGTAGAGTCTGGAGCAGTGAATCCTGAGAGTGATGCCTCCAAAAGGCAAGAGCACAAAAAGCCTCCCAAAATACTTGGCCTGGTCAGTCACTTAGCATAAATCTCTTGGGCTATTGTGTCAA